TCTTCGGTAATTAGGAAAGATTCAAAAACCAAGAAGTTTGTCTAATATTTTTGCTTAGAATCAAATGCCTGAGGGTGCTCCTCCTCCAAAACGTCAAAGAACTGAGGATGAACTAGAACCAGAAGCTGAGTGGTTGAAGAAAGTCGGTTTAACACCTATTTTAGTCTACACTTTTTGGATTCACATAAAGTTTTTAATGTAAAATCGCTTAATATACGAATAAATAAAATTTAATAAGTGCAGGTTAGCGGCGCGATTGACCTACGCATACAACTACCTGTAAATCCCGAGTTTAATATGGATGGGTCGATCATTGGATTACAGATCGATGTTTCTTCACAGGTACTCATTACTTCAGTGACTATGTAATTCTTATATGAGTATACAGATATTGTGTTTGAAACCGAAGGAGTTGAATTTAGGTTTAAGCAATTAACCATTTTTTCCTTTTTTTAGAGTAGGGAACTTTTCCTTGCTTTTGCCAAACTGGCATGTGCACATTTTTCCCCTTTTTTAAAATTATTTTGAATTCTTAAATTGGTTCCACTTAAATCACAACATAAGAACACTTATAGATATAGACGAATGTGTTATAGGTTTCCGACCTCAAGCAGCAACTTCAAGATAAGTTGAGTATGCCAACTGGAAAGCAGAAACTCATTTTCGATGTGAGTGTTTTACTCATGCTCAATTTAGCGAGCTTTTAGAGCTTGTTTTTCGACCAACACTCAAACAATCTTGATTTTTACCCACGTAGTTTATCAACTGAGCAATTTCACCTCTGTTATTAACTTTCCATTATCTCTCCGTAAAAACCCTTGGATTTTCAAACAATGACGAATCATGACTAAGTTTGTTTACATTAAATTATGAGCCCTTATCTCCATTTTCAGGGTTTCTTCTTGAAAGATAACTTCTCGTTGGCTTTCTACAACATGAAGAACCAGTCATTCGTTATTCTACAGGTCAAGGAGAGAGGAGGAAAGAACAAGTAAACCTGTTTAAAAATGCAATCAAAAGTTCCTTTTGTAACCGTTGTGTTAGTGCTGGGAGAATTGTTGTTGTATTTTGTGGAAAGTAGTATAAACCAGTTATTTACTTGCTGTAAAGGTGATCAAACACTCGTTTCGGAGAAAATGTAATTAAGACTCTACTAACATGAGGAACATGGGCATACAGAACAAGAGAGCTCAACAAATGTGTTGTGATATAGCCGTATAAGCTAAAATTTATGAACTAACAACGCAATGATAACGTACATTAACAGAAAATGACGACATAAAACGTCGATACAGGAAATTGAACAAACTGAAGAATAGATAGTTGTAAGATATTGCTACAGACTACAAATTTACTAAAACCTACCTTCAGACCATCAAACGCCAAAGAATTCTCCAATATCTTTTCTATCACGATTATTAAACTTACTATTAACCGTCAGTCGCTCTTGCTGTTCCTTAACTTTCCGCAACTCGACTTCTTCCTCATCTTCAGGAAATATATCAGGAACAGTGAATTCGAAACCCTTCTTCATGAAAACATATGCGAACTTCTTGTCGCCATCTTTCCACATCGCTTTCTTGTACTGTCTATCCGCTGGTGTACTCCACATAATATCTCCCATTCGATTTTCAGTTCGCACATCCCTTACAGGCAAGTTGTAGATCTTGACGAGGTAATCTCGGATATCCTGCCTTGACATTCGAGGATCAACTTCAAACTTGACACAGTTTTTCGGCAACTTCGTTCGTCCAACTGAGGAATTTGAGGCAACAGCTACCCAAAAATCCGGCAAAAAAACGTATCGCTGAGGATTCCCGGGTTGCCAAAGGCGCGGTAATCGGCTCGTCATTGCCGTATGCTAGAGCAGAACCTTAAAATAAG